GAGAGAGAGAGAGAGAGAGAGAGAGAGAGAGAGAGAGAGAGAGAGAGAGAGAGAGAGAGAGAGAGAGAGAGAATTTTTTGAGTTGTCATGACAAAAAATGTCCCGGTATCACTCTTTCCAAACAAAATACATCGAGACGGACAAGGTTGCTTCGTCGCCTTTGCCGCTCCAGCCATACTTCCCCCGGTCCCCTACAACAAAATGGGTTCCCGAGGGACACAACTTACCTTCCCGAAGAGGTTGTCACCACCCTTAGGGGAGTATCCCTACCGAGCTATTGACCCACATGCGAAAACTTTTAAATGCAATTGCAGAGGTAGGTCAGTCGAGGGTGTTTGCTCGTTTACTGTAGTATAGGTACGCGCGCTTAAGACGCCATCTAAAACCGAACGACGCTCGTTTCTCAGGGCGCTAATCTCCCAAGCACGAAGTGTACGTTGGTCGATTAGGACGGTCTCATGAAACCCACCATTTATCCTAGTATCTTGTAGGTAGAACTTTGAGAAAACAAATTACCATGATCAAATATAACTATACCAAAACATATTGACCATTGATCGATTGGAAAACACATTTGAATTCAACATGAGTTTAATCAATAACAGAAAGAACCCGAGTTTCACATGATAGATCCAATAATGCAAGATTAAACTAAAAAAACAGACCAATAGGGAATGGGTTTCAACAATAACCTCAATGCACTGACAAAGTAGTCGGACTGCCCCAGTTCTGACTTTATGAAACGCGTTGCCGAAGTCATTTATTTCACCCTACCGCCGATCGAAGATTATATACGCACACGTCCGTTTTCATACGTTTTAGCCTTCTCTTGATGACATGCTGTTTTGCAGATGATTCTTTATTTTCCCCCAACCTGAAATCAACGGAACCAAAGCATTGATGAGTCGATGTTCAGCGGAATCTTTGTGAGTTTGTATTACAAAACGAGTTTGTGAAAGAAGTGTTTCCTGTTATTTTTTAGACGCATCAACTCTGTTGGCGAGCCCGTGGGATTCATACTTGAAGTGTCTGCTCTTCGAGCCTTTGCCAAGGTGGAGAACGTCATGTGCTAAGAAATGAAATCCTTCTCCCATAGTGACTATACGAGTTTGATCAGACACAAAGTGTAGGTCCATGGGTTCGAGCAATTGTGATAGGAACCCTTGAGCGCCCTGAACAACTCTTCGAGCCTTGTGAAGAACAACGAAATCAACGACATATCTTACTAGGATAACTCGGCCCTTGACCGCCTGTTGCTGAAGGCACTCATTCAAAGCATTCTTTATTCCGTGCAAAGCGATGTTGGTCAGTAAAGGCGATATAAGACGACCGTCAGGCTGTGGTAATGTCACCTTCTATAACCCAAATCGCACTCTTGAATGTTCGGTCTACCTAGAGTATTGCACGCTTTGCATGAGAACAGTCCAGAAATTGCAGATTGTATATGCTGTCCAACAGGGTGCATTACACGAAGTGTTACATGTCCCACCCTCTAGGAAGCGGTATGGGTACTCCTCCTCCTTGCCCGAGCGTAAATCTCGGATCTCAGAAGTCGGGTCATCTCGACCGAACTGACAGAGTACCCCCCCATAGAATGGTCCACTCTGGGTCGATGACAGGGTCAGCTCCTAAACCAACGAACCCCCGCCCAAGATGCTTCCTAGGGAGAGAATACATCTACCGAGGATAGTTTTCAACTAGTCTCATTTTTCCTAAGTTCAAGGTAGTAACTTAGGCGAGAAAAGTAAAAGGAGGTAGAGAATGAGAACCATTTGGATAGATATAGACAAATAAGGTCATTCACGGTAGAAAAAGGTAACCTTGGGATAACGACTAAATTCATTTAGTCTTGTCTTTTTTATTTGAACCAAATTCATTTCACGACGCGCTCTTAATTAACTATTTTCAAAATAACAATTTTGTTTTACAAGCAGACAGGTGAGAGGTAGAAAGAAAACAATTTTTTTTTACTAGTCTTAAGTAGGCACAATCAATTTCCTTTGTAAGCATCCTTCTACATACCTGCACACACAAAAACAACCGATAAGTTCATAAAAAATCCTGCAACCCATACTTCTGTCAGATCCTATTTTTTCACATGCAAGACCACACATTCTCAACCCTACCTTATTCAGTTGAAACTTCAATGAAAAGCAGGGTTGAACAAAGTGTGGCCTCATACATGTGTAAAGGGGAACCGAGTCACCAACTGACCTTCAGTATAGTAGTACTGGGCATGCATTGGCTCACTCAAGAAAGTCATAAAAAATATATGTGTCACCGAAGAAAACCGGAGTTCCGAGGTAAGCCTCAGGTTTAACGCTAGTCCCAACCCGTCCCCGACTCACACGTCCCACACGTAGTAATCCCAAGTGTGAAGATGACGAGTCCCACACGTTAAGAAAAACAAAATACTGATCTCACTTCAATGCCAACTGGTCCCACACTACCGACCACCACACTGGATGGTCCCGCTACAACTATTGAAACCGCTCACGCCACGCTCCCCAAAAAAATAATAATGTCCTTGGTGTTAAACCGCAAGTGCCGCATGCTTGCATCACCTACACTTGTACCACACATTGAAAATTGTTAGTACTGTAAGTGCGAGCACTCACCACGTCACTTATACAAGTCTGCCTAATCTTGTTATTCCAAGTGCAGTACCTAGTCATTCCATAACTCAAAACCATAAGCGTCGTGTCGTTAATACCACTTTGTCTTGTCTCCCCTACAGTTACCATGCTCGTGCTACTGAAAAATAAATTAACGGTGTTTTCGTTAAAAGTGAAATTGTTTTCATGTTCACTTTTTATTTTAATTGTAAAATGACACAAAGAACTGAGGGAAAAATAAGCAAACAACGAGAAAACAATGGTTATACATGAAAATTGTTGAAGGAAATTAAACAAAAATTTTCACCTCGAATGTTCACACGTACACAAGCTGCAAAAATGTCACTCAAGGATTGACAATCCACTCTGTAAACATGTCACTCAGTAAAACATGCCAAGCTCATCAACAACTGATGAGAAGTCTAGGAAATGTCATTATACATTGTCAACATATTTTCAAAATTGCCTACAATACACATTTTCACCCGGAATGTTCACACTAAGTAAACATGTCAACCTCTTTTTTTCAAACCTAGAACCTGAAATTCTCATCGACTTTCCTATATAACCATGGACAAAATGTCAAATGTTATTCTAAGTCTCATATCAGGAATACTATCTTGTGAGAAACCGAACGGAGGGAAGTGACATTTTGCAAGCAAAGATGCAAAACCTAACATAAAAACACCACAACTAGAAGAATCTTATTGAGCAGGAATCCCATCTACAGATGTATCAAAGTAGGATGTAGGCTCCTCCACATAATATTTTTCTCAAAGATTTTGTCGCTGAAACTCCGCTCTGAAAAAATTGTCAAAAGTTTGAGGGCTGGACCGTAGTCAACACGATGAAGAGAGTCTACGAGGCGGAATTTACACTCAGAGCGATCTATACTGACATAAGCTAAGGCCCAATGATTTTTGAAATGGAGAGGGATAATTACCAAATCAAAATTGAAAAGATTTATGTCCTTCACCGATATCGTCCCTTCAGAGTATGCGATTTCAGCGGACTGAGTTTTTGACAATCTAGGAAAGAAAAAAGAATTTAGAATATGCACAGATGGAATGCTACAAGAACTTTCATCTTTTGCCACTTCTGCACATGTCGAATCCACCTTCTTGATGTAGTCATTGGTGATCTGAACGGCTAGCAGGTACAAATTGACGACTTCATCATTTAACCATTCTCCATCTTTGGCGGCGAGCATGACGTCTTTCTTTTCCACCTTTCACCTCCCCTTGTAATCGACAATGTCGTATTCTTCATTCTCTTCAGTGTTGCCGGTAATCATTTCAAGATACTTATTTTCTTCTACAGTAAGGCGTACTGTTGCTAAAAGAATCTGAAACGAAGGGTCATGCACTGCATACAAATACACATATAAACAACAATAGAGCGACTAAGACTTCACACAAAAACAAGTGATAGACTACATAGATATGAACGCATGTTGTTGGTTGTCTATCTATTTCGTCATCAGTGCTGTTATCCATAACAAATAAATTGCAACCTGCGCGATGCAATTTTTTCCCTCCTTGAGGCTTATTCCAACAACTTTATACATCCTTAAGGCAACTGGCTTCACAGATGGAAATGTCATGGGTGTACGACTTCTTCTCTCATTTTTTTGCAATAACGACAAAGTTGACAAAGCTTGCAAGCCACGACGAATGATATTCTTCTCTCTCTTCCTTTGCGAGTGTACATGTATCGTTTTTCACAGTTCTTTTCGTCGCCCTGCATGATTGACAAAATAAAACATAATGAGTTACAAGTCCGACTTTCCGTTGTTGAAACTGACTCATGAATACCAATACAAAATATATGGCAATTGCACTAAGTCTTCATACAAAACAATTGCAGTATTTCTCTTCAGAAAACGGACAGTTCCAAAGCTAGGTACATAAACACTACATCTGAGGGATCGATACAACGGAAGATGAGTGCATGTGATGTACCCACTAATCCGCATATAGAATTAGATATTGCTTCTAAGATAAGAAAGTGCTCACCTCGATGGCTGACTCTCAGTTTTTCTTCAACACGACCTTCTGTCATACCTTCCATATGCAATGGCGCAATAGGAGATTCCTCGATAGCTATCATGAGGTTAGCAGACTGTGGTGTTTGAGGTTGTTCAAGCGTTTGTTGAGGTTGTACAAGTACAGCTTGCTCCGGTGTACTTAGTACTATATGTCCTTCATCCTCTTCGATGCCCTGTACATGGAGAGTTTCTTCCTCTTTTACGCCCTCAAAAGTGTCATGGAAAGTGCCGCTTACTTCGGCTGGCATCGTCGATGACGGCATCTGCAATTCCATGAGTGTACCAGTAATATCCACTTCCATAGCGGTACTGTTGCCCTCTAGTATCATAGTCGTCCAACTTGGTCAGCTGTACTCACGCCCTCGCAACTCACACCGCCTTTTCGTCCCGAAGTTTTGGCACTCGCACAGACAATCAATCCCCATTGCTCTGTCGGGTTGGACTCAACCACGAGTTTCTCCGCTCGGTCAAGCTGGGAGCGCTCCAATAGTGGACCCCTGTCGTGTTCGACTCGGCCATGTAACCCTTCAACAGGTGAAACAACGTCGATTGGTCCCGAAGCCTTGCCACTTGTACCTGCGATTGATCCCGATCCCACTGTCGGGTTCGACTGACAGTGAGTTTCTTCGCTTGGTCAAGCCGCGAGCGCTCAAATGCTGGACGAGTGTTGTGTTCGACACGATCGTGTGACTCTTTGACAGGTGAACCACCGCCGATAGTTGTACTGCCCCCCCGTGGTCCCGAAGCCTTGCCAGACGTACCGGCGATCGTTTCCGATCCCACTGTCGGGTTCGACTCGATCGTGAATATCTTCGCTTGGTCAAGTCGGGAACGCTCCAATGCGAGGCCACTGTCGTGTTCGACTCGACCGTGGGACCCTTCGACAGTTGAACCACCACTCGATCCTGATCCCTTGCGCTCGGTTTCTTGAGGCCCTTGAGACCCTTCGACAGTTGAACCACCGCCGCTTGGTCCTGTAGGTTTGCCATGCCCACCACCGCTTGGTGTTGATCCCTTGCCTTCTGTTGCTTGACGCCCCTTAGACTTTTCGGTTTGTTGTCGTTCCCCACGACTTGCATCCTTGCCGCTTGCACCATCATTTGGTTCCGGACCCTTGTCACTTGCACCGCTCCCCGATCGCAATCCTTTGCCATGCACACCTCCGCTCGATCCGGATCCCTTGCCATGGTCACCACCGCCGCTTGAGTTTTTCCTCTCCCCAAGATCTTCTCTTACATGCCAATAATATCCAAAAGCCCCGCTGGTTTGTCTATCATATAACTCTTCCAGATACTCAAGCCACTGCAATGTTTTGAACTCTTGGAAAATTTATTCTGTTCTTACATCTAGTCTTGATTGAGAAACCTCCGGATTAAGTCGCAGGAGTCGCTTGGCAATCTGATTTTTTTCATATTTCAGAAAGTTCGATCCTGACATACGTCTGTGGAGGCAAAACTGCCACCCCCCTTCTTCTTTTATAGCCATAACCCACCTCCCTCTCGCCAATGCAGGTTGGAAGTGTTGGGGGTGCCATATAATGTGATGACCCCATGTGGCATCATCCGTCCTCGTATAATCGTCTCGGCACACTATAGGCCCCGGAAGCAGTCGAATGTCTGCAGGGATTGTGTCTTCAATCTCGTACTCCAAAGGCTCATCAGGTGGAGGTTGTTGTGGAGTTCGAGAGCGTAAAAATTCCATAATAGTACTTGGGCTGTGTGCAAATGGTGCCAGAGTTGCCACCAACTCTGGGGAGAGCATTGCTAGAACATTCGGATCCAGACTGCCTCCTGATGCCACCGTCATCGTATTGCCCGCCATCTGAGTCAATGTAACAATAGAAGAATTCGGTGGCTGAGTCATTAACTGATCCGTTGAAACCGCCATGCTCGAAGCTCCTCCACAACCGGAAGATGTGCCTGGAACACCCATTCTCTGCGAATGCGAAGCCGGGCAATAAGCTTTTTGCCTCTCAGCTGCCAAAGCCGCTTGCAAAGTGTCATCAACACTCTTTTCTTCTGAGTCGTCGGCATCAAAGTCCTCACCATCCACAAAACAAGTCGCATAACCTGCGATTGTAAATGCCCCGATTAGTTGGTCGAAGTACATTGTCTCCAAGCGGTCGAGAAATGAAACCTCCCTCTCCGATGGTGCTTTATGATAACCCCTCAAGAGCTTCTCCATTTTTCTTCTTCTGAGGATATAAGTACGTTCCCCTCTGTCTTGCGGCTTTGTTTCGAAGAGAAACTCCCAAATATTGACCACGTTTTGGCCAACCTTGTAGACGAGATCACGCCCTTCATCATGTCGAGGAGGCGGCTTAGTAAAGTTGGCGTAGTAATCTCGAGTTTTGACCATCTTGTCAATGAACTGAGTGAGGAACTCGAACTTCATACCTTCCCCTTCCAGCACAATGCAATGACGGTGACTCCTTAACAGCTCCCAAACCAATCCCGCATGACCTTTCCCGAGGAAAACGACAGCCTCATCCGCAGGACAAAAATGCTTCAATGTCTCCATCATCGCATTCGGCTCCCTTTCCATGCCATCACAAACCACTTTCTCAGGTGGATCCATACCTGTCATTTTCCACTTGGATGGTAGAAAGTTCTTCTCCATAACATCCGTCAACATCTTCGGCTTTCTCTCTCTCCGCACAAGTGCCGATATGTCAGTCACCCGCTCGGCAGATGATGAACCTGCAGCTTGAATATATTCAAACAAGGGAATAATGTTGAGATGAAAATCCCCGTCGTTGGAGTACATGATGACCACCATTCTGTCTGTGTCCTCCGAAGGCAAGTTTGCAACCTTATACACTTTGCCCTTTGTTTGTTGTAGACGAGTCCATTTGAGAAGCTCCAATTGAATGTCCCACATCACGACTCGCCTCAAAAATGTGAACTCGCAAGGGCGTGGAACGAAGCACAACAATGTCCAATACTCGCCACAAAGTTTGTCCATGAACTTCTTGAGTCCATGAAACACTTGTTCAGTCCACGCACCCATCTGGGTCGGGCGACACAAATCCAGGACGGCTGTGTGACACGTCAGGTGTCTGACGGCTCTAAACATCTCCTTGCAATCCATCTCGTCTGAAACATCGCTCGGTTCCCACTGGAACGGCACAAATACAGATGTCACGTCCTGTTTCTGGAAATATATATATCTCGCTTGTCCCGACATACAAATGTTATGCGAACCCCCAGTTTAAGATCTACACAACAACTTATTGACAAATTGAATGAACTCTTCGGGGCATTTGTTTGCAAGTGATTTTGTTTTCTTGAAGCCTTCCTCTCCTTTTTCATCCTCGCCTCCAAGTGTAGCCGGAAACGACATCACCCAACTCGTTTCTTTGAAATGTCGTCGCTGGTCGATCCACCTCTCCGAAGTCAATCCTTGATCACAATACCTAGCGAACAAATCAGAAAGGTTGTCGAAGAATGATTCCTTCCACTCTGACGGCTTCTTGTGAGGGTCAGAAATGAAGACGAAGTAGTGAAACATTCTCAACATTGCTCTTTCGTGCTTCACCATTTCCACATATGTCTCCATCGAATGTTTCCCGGCAGTGTGAGCAGCTTTACTTAGCCTTGGAGCCAGTATGACACTTTCCGCGAGAATGTCTCTCAACAGCTGAATCCTCTCACGCCTCCTCAACGTAGACATAGCCTTCCATGATCTGACATCCGGATCGCGCACAACCACGAGGTAACCAGGTCCTCGAGTACCCTGAATCCAGTGCACTGGAACCCAGACTCCTTTTTCCAACTCGAATCCGGGGCCAGGTCTCGGCGCTTTCCCCGATTCACCTTGTTTGGTGGCAGGCTTCACACCGTCTCTCCCCGGCAACTGTCCACTCACCCAAGCAGAATACACTTGTTGCACCTTCTCGAACACATCGTCCGTCGCCCTTGCCAATACCATGTAAGGCCCGAGGTCGGACCACTCCTTGCTCCAAGCCTGAAGTGAAAGAGTAACCAAATGATCACTCCCGGTCGCGCGCAGAACCATCGCCACAAACTCTCTGTAATCCTTATTTTTTACGTCTGCAACAGATCCGCTTATAGCTTCTGGATAACCGGCTATGTGCCACAACTTTTGTATGTTCTTAACGATAACAATCTGGTGCGGAGGAGTATTTCATTTGTCCTTCGCATTTTGGAAAATGCTCAAGGTGCAGTAATTCTACATGCTCCTATCCGGATAGTAAACAGGCCTTGCAGTCCAACAATCCAAACGGAGCTCACAGGCGATATCAGGGCGTTCTTGAGAACATTTTCTCGCTGCCGCAACATTGTGTTGACCACTAAGAGGGTACCAGTAGTACTTGCGCACGGATTGAAGATCGAATTCGCCGGGCGTCACTCTTCTTGCCCTCACATTCGTATCGGAAGCGTCAGTATGCATTGTAGCATGTAGCCCAATCAACAAAAGGATAGGTTTCTCGAACAAAGGGAACACAACATGAGAACAATAATCAAACACTCGGCTGACAGCGATGTGTCGGTGTCCACAGCCAAACCAAAAGCACGTGTCATCATTCCCGGGTTCCAATGAATCGAAAAACAATATGAGGACAACAACGTCAAACGTGTGTACTTTTGACCACTGAACACATGATGAGAACAACTAGCAGATACCGCGTATTGTTATCGAAATAACACATTTAGAACAACAATCGCAATGCGAATTCCACGAGGCTATCTATCGACTACGAGGAATAATCTCGCCGTTGCGGCCATTGCGGCCATTCAGTATGTCGTTTTGGCCATTCAGTATGACGAAGGCTATCTACCGACTACGGGGAACAATCCCGCCATCGCAGTCATTCAACACGCTAATTGGCGATCCGAAGGTCAGCTGTTGCGCCGTCTCAGCAAACACCGAAATGTATGACATTCGCACGAACCCGGAGTTCCCGACGAGAGAAGCGCCTATAGCATCCCGAATTGAAACGACTTTAGCCTCGACCTCGCGCCATGTGACAACGTCCTCCACCTGACCACCCACCACGATATCCAGTCTCCCGTCTACCCTTCTTTGAACTAAACACATATCCCTCCCGGACACAGACAACTCGTTCCTGGACACGTACACGACAGCATCGGTCAAGTTTTTTGCCCTGCTCAAAATGGCAATACAGAGGACCCTACAGAAGATAAAGTATGCCAGACGCAATCTCACACAACAATACGAAACTGCTCCTGGCGACAGACCGGGAGATCGCAACGGATAATGATCGAGGAACTGAGAATGTCGCGCACAATCGAGTAACTTATGTTTCATAACACGGCACCAGGTGCGAGGCGAGGTTGTCACGTATTCGCAGTCCAAAACCCCCACAACACGGCTTATTTTTAGCTTTTTACACAGTAGCGGCAAGCGCACGGGACGCAGCACATTGAACGGCACGGGAATGTGTTTGCCGAATTCGGACATATTCACGAACTCATAATCGCACGCCCACGGGCATCTCTCCGTCATGTTCACCCACTCGCACTCCTCCCACGAGTCCAAATGTTTGTCGCCAAACGGGAGGATTCTCATCCAAGGGTCGCATTCGAAGTCTTTTGGACAAGCGCCTTCATAGGTTACGCTGCCCTGACATTGTCGAACGTACAGTGCGCAAGGCGGGAAAGGGTGTGCCTTGTGTGCACGCCAAAGTGTTGGGGTCATATTAGAGATCTCCATAGCAACAGTGAAGAGAAGACGCCCCACGGCACAAGGGCAACGGTCAACAACAGCAATAGAACAACCAACAGAAGCATAGAACTATTCACCCCACTCCCCCCAACAATGGAAACAAACCAGGCCGCACGACAGCATAATGCACAGAATCTACGTGCGCAATCCACGCCCATAATTCTACGCACACAACCCATGCACGATCTTCCAGGACATGACGCACGTGACCCATAGCACTGCACACAATCATAAACGATTTGATGACATTGCACCTCGCACAATCTTGTTTCACTAGAGGACAGGGAAGGATCGTGTTTGACTCGACGACAGGGCACTTGCCTGTCGTGTTCGACTTGACGAACGCAATCGACGATTGTGTTCGACTCAACGATCGTGTTCGACTCGACGATCGTGTCGGACTCGACGATCGTGTCTGACTCGACGATCGTGTTCGACTCGACGAACGCAATCGACGATCGTGTTCGACTCGACTATCGTGTTCGACTCGACGATCGTGTTAGACTCGACGATCGTGTCCGACTNGTGTTCGACTCGACGAACGCAATCGACGATCGTGTTCGACTCGACTATCGTGTTCGACTCGACGATCGTGTTAGACTCGACGATCGTGTCCGACTTGACGATCGTGTTCGATTCGACGATTGTGTTCGACTCGACGAACGCAATCGACGATCGTGTTCGACTCGACGATCGTGTTCTACTGGATGTCCGGACACGATCGACGATCGTGTTTGACTCGACGATCGTGTTCTACTGGACGTCCGGACACGATCGATGATCGTGTCCAACTCGACGTGTTTGACTCGCCTATCGTGTTCGACACGACTATCGTGTTTGACTCGACGAACTCAATCGACAATCGTGTTCGACTCGACGATCGTATCCGACTCGACGATCGTGTTCGACTCGACGATCGTTGTTCGACTCGACTATCGTGTTCGACTATTCGATAGTGTTCGACTCCTCGATAGTGTTTGACTCGACGATCGGTCACTGTCGTGTTCGACTCGACGATTGGGCAGTGTCGTGTTCGACTCGACTATCGTGTTCGACTCGACGATCGGGCAGTGTCGTGTTCGACTCGACTATCGTGTTCGACTCGACGATCGGGCAGTGTCGTGTTCGACTCGACTATCGTGTTCAACTCGACGATCGGGCAGTGTCGTGTTCGACTCGACAATCGTGTTCGACTCGACGAGCGTGTTCGACTTGACAATCGTCTTTGACTCGACGAGCGTGTTCGACTCGACTGTCGTGTTCGACTCGACAATCAGACATCGGGCGCGATCGTGTTCGACTCCATTGTCGGGCACTGTCGTGTTCGACTCGACGATCGGGCACGATCATGTTCGACTCGACGATCGGGCGCGATCGTGTTCGACTCGACGATCTGGCCCGATCGTGTTCGACTCGACGACCGGAAGTGCCACGTGGCGTTACGTGGTTGCATCTGGGCTGCGTGGTTATGTCCTCACCGTCCGATCCTTCAAACTCGGGGTGCACCGCTGTGGTTGTGCGTCGCGATCTTGGGCCGTATGCTCGCTCCGTCGTCGCGCTGAACAGGCCTCTCGACAGTGCTGTGGTCCACCGTCGCATCGAGCAGGTGGTCTGCTATGCACGGACCGAATCCCTACGCTCCATTGCTACGCTGTACACGAGCCTCCACTGCGTTGCGCTGTGGCACGAGCCTCCGCTGCGCTGCGCTACTGCTGCGTTGCCGAACTGAAACGAAAATGGGAACTGGTGGCCCTCCCTCATATATATAGTTTTTCGGGAGGGCCTATCGCAGGGAACCTGCTGGCCGTCCGATCCGGGGATACTGACGGTCGGGATGTTCCAATGGGGAGTGGTGGGCCTGCCTCATATATGTGGTTTTCCGGGTGGGCCCTCCCCGCGCGCCTGCTGGCCGTCCGATCCGGGAATACGGACGGTCGGGACGATCCAATCACTGCAGTCGGCCGTGATCGTTTTCCCCCCTTGGCGAGAGCGGAGGCGTGTGGATGACGTTCAACTGCAGAGCAGAAATGCGATTCTCGTACATGAGTACCCTCGACATTGTGTCATTGTTCACGTTCTGGGAGAATCAGCGCAGCGGTCCGCCAACGTCGACACGACAACTGCCCCGCTCTCCAGGTTAGTGCTGCTTCGGCCAACACGCCCCCCCCCCCCTACGAGAGAAAGAGAAAAGCCTCCGTGGACAGCCGTGTCCAGTGCTGGTTTATCGGTGACGTCAACAAGTTTTCTCCAACACTTTCACCACAGTCGTCGTGTCGAACACGATGGTCGATACGGTCGTCGTCGTGTCAAACACGATGGTCGTCGTGTTGAACACGATCGTTGTCGTGTCCGACACGCTGGTCGTCGTGTCAAACACGATGGTCGTCGTGTTGAACACAATCGTTGTTGTGTCTGACACGCTGGTCGTCGTGTTGAACACGATCGTTGTCGTGCCTAACACACTGGTCGTCGTGTCAAACATGATGGTCGTCGTGTTGAACACGGTCATCGTCGTGTCGAACTTGATGGTCGTCGTGTCGAACACGCTGGTTGTCGTGTCGAACACGATCGTCGTCAGGTCGAACGACGAACACGATCTCCATCGTGTCGAACACGGCCGTCATCGTGTCGAGCACGCTCGTCGTCTTGTCTGGCTCATTGTCGTGCACGGCTGTCGTCGTGTCGAACACGACCGCCATTGTATCGAGCACGGCCGTCTTCGTGTCAGACACGATCGTCGACGATGGTCGTCGTGTCCTGCACGATGGTCGTCGGGTCGGACACGGTGGCCGTCGTGCCGAGCACGGTGGTCGTCGTGTACGCCACGGTGGTCGTGTCGAACGCCATCACGGTCGTGTCGAACACCCTGCTCTTTTTCGCCACGACCCCCACCTACATTTCGACTTGCACAGAGTTTAGTGTGGGTTGCGCCAGCAGAACATAGTGCCCGGGTGACTGTCTTTTGTCTCTTGTAGCATTGACTGCTTGTTACGAGATTGCACCATGACCCCCACCTTGTAATATACAATGGAGCTCCGGTCGTGTTGGGCGCGACATTGGAGTTGCCGCAGTCGTTTGCCTTCTCAACCTAGCTATCTGGAAACCCGTCGTGCGCCGTGGAACGAACTCTGCGTGAATTTTGCTTTGAATCCTCAGAGTCTGGTACCCGGGAATCAAGACGGGGGACCCTTCTGTGTTGGGCGAGGTGGTCGCGTTGCCACGATGGTTTTCCTGCTCACTCGTGAGAGTTTTCCTGCCTGCTCTTTGTGGGTGGTGAGTGCCACGCGTGCCGGAAATCAAGATGGGGGATCCTTCCGTGTTGGGCGAGGCGGTCGCTTTGCCACGATGGTACGGTCGCATTGCCACGATGGTATTCATGCTCACTCGTGGCACTTTTCCTCCCCGCTCAAGTTGGTGTAACCGTCAAATTTTATGGTGGTGTATTGGATAATGTAAGCTTTAGTGATCCTGCTACTGTTAAAAAATATGTTCGACGTGCTCAATTAGGAGAAATATTTGAATTCCATCGCACTACTTTAAAATCAGATAGAGTTTTTCGTAGTGGCCCGAGGGGTTGGTTTACATTTGGTCATCTTTGCTTTGCATTTCTTATCTTTTTTGGTCACTGCGTGGGTGGTGATTACCACGTGTGTCCAGTCGCTGCAGTTCCTGAAGTAATATAGAATCTTTCCTATCAATGCCCTCGTGCCAAGCTGTGTGCTGCGCGCCAGAGTCTTCGCCGTTCCGCTGTTGGTGCCCGCTGGGTTTTGCACGCCTGGGTCTCTGCCTTTCCGAAGCTGGTGTCTGACATGACATGTGCTGCGTTTCCTGTTGCGCGTCAAGATCTCCGCCTTTTCAATGTTGTTGCATGTTGTGTTTCCGGTTGATGGTGCCCCGACTCGACATGTGCTACGCTTCCCACTGTCGTTCGATCTCCGACTTGGACAGACTCTTTCGCGTGTATTGCGCCTTTGGCACGGATTGGGCCTGAGGACTGGATTGCTGCCCAGATTCAACGGTCGTGTGTTATCCTCTCTTGGATGTTTCATGTTCCCCTCCGTCCAGTGTAGGGCTGTGTTTCTCAGGGTCATTTATAGGGCTGTGTTTCTCGCTGTTGTGTAGGGATGGTTGTCTGCTCCATTTCATTTGACAATGGTCCGCTGTCTTGTTGTCGCAGACACGTCTCGTGCATGGCTTGTGGTGTGCATGCTATACCACGGCAGGCTTGCAGCACAACCTTCGAAAGCATGGACTGTGTGGCGTCTAATACAATGCTCAATGAGGATTTTCCTCCACCACACCTGCCAATGTGTTCACAAGATGTTCGAAGTGGTCACGAACATGTCGATAATGCTCCGGAATCTCCTGCTCGTAAGAGGTCACGAAATATTGTGTGTGCGGACACTACATGTGAAAGTGCGTATCATGTCCTTTGATGCCCGGTTCGAACCTGTGATGCAGAGAGTGCTGAAGGTCAGGAGGGTAAGGTCTCCTCTACTGACAACGACGCATCCGATGTAGATCGTGTTGTATGGGTGCCGAGGAGTTCACTTCGAGATTTCGAGTACACAGGTTTTCTGTTTGGTGAGAGTGATGAAGGTGGTTCAGATTCAAGTGCTTCAGTGTCGTCTAGTGCTGATAGTTCTCCAGATAAAACCGATCTTCCGCAAACGTACGCTGACCGGAACAATGACCACTGTTGTCGAAATGATGATGATAATTGTGACGTGATCTCTGATTTCGATGACATTTTTCAAAAACGTCTGTCCTCATAGAAGCATCCTTATACTTTTCGTCTCAGAATGCCGCGGTCAAAAAAGATTCTGCAATCAGTTCATAGAAAACTCACCAAAAAGCACTGGCGAGTGTGCGTGGGCAGGTTTGTTGTAAGCGAGAGTGTTGCGCTCAAATGACCCTGGACGACATCAAAGTTGTCCGAAGCGCATACTACTCTAAGAACGAGCAGAGCAGGGATGCGTGGTGGGTTGAAACGTTGAAGAGGTTCACCTTCATAGAAGATTAAAAGGAGATTGTTCAACCTATTGTGGGGAGACGAAAGGTGTGGATTAGTGCTTGGTGTTTCACATTGGGTGTATGTAGGAATACATTTCTCAAAAAAAGGATGACTTTGTCAAAAGGCTACAATATGTCGGAGCATGGCAGTACTTGACTCAGACGCACATCAGCAACATATGCGACGATGTACGGGAAACTAAGCTCCTTCGTGCGAGACAACGGAGATTCCATGCCCAATGACATGAAGATCAAAGAGGGGGAATCAAGAGTGGTGTTGAGATTGCCTGCTTGCTATAACAAGGTTGATATTTATAAGTTGCTAAAGTCGCAATTCGACAACATGGGTGCTCCTTGTGTTTCTGTCCAAGTTTTTTACAACATGTGGAGAACGCAGTTCTGGCATGTGAAATTTCATGACATTGATCAAAACTTTGCGAAATGCGAGAAATATGTTGAATACAAAGAATCTATCAATTCTGCAAAGTTCGTGCGTGTGCGTTAGTCCTTTGTTTCGTTACGCGAGAAACACTTGGACTTGCAGCTCCAACATCGTGCTACGTATGAGGTGTGGAAGGATAAGTCGAAGAGACCGGGTTCCAACAGTTTGTGCATCATCATTGACGGCATGGACCAAAGCAAGACCAGCATTCCACACTTTGGCGGAGAGAACAAATCGAAGGCATTCGCAAATATTCCGATGTTGAAAACGAATCTAACAGTTATTATTGCACACAGCCGCTCACCATCGGTTCATGCTCACACATGGTACCCTTGCTATCCACATGATTCTAATGTTGTATTGTTATCCATTATGAAAGTTCTTCACGACATCCAGACGACGAGTGACTTGCCTCCTAAACTTAGGATACAAGCTGACAACTGTTGGAAAGAAAACAAAAACAGATACGTTTTGGCACTCGCTGCAGCTTTGGTGCAATTTGGCTTCTTCAAAGAAGTCGGTTTTATGTTAGTGGGACACACACATATGGACGTTGATGCCACTTTCAGTCATTTCTCTCGCAAATTGAAAATGCACGATGCATATACCATGCTCGACCTCTTCAAGCTCATTGCCAGTTCTAAAAAAGAACGTCCATCGTGCACATTCATGGATGAAATTGTTGATTGGCGAGTTGTTGTTAAGCCCTTCCTGGTCAAGAGACTTACCGGTCATACTCGTCCACATGCATTTAGGTTTTATATGCAGGATGACAATTTTGTGTTCCAGTGGAAAGAGTATTGCACTTCTCCTGAATGGTCTGCTCCAGTCTATTGCTTTAAACGAGATGGAAACAAAGCATATGCTGGACCCGAACGACCATTCGTGGCATCACCTGTTCCGCCGTCAGCTTCTCTGCCTACTAAAGATAGGAATTCGGATTTCGAATCGGGAATTGAAGGTGTGAAGATGTTTGTTGGGTGGATGGTGAACAAGCGGCACGAGTGGTTGGGACTGAAAGATGAGGTTAGCTTCTCAAAGGAGAGTGCTCTTTCACACTGGAAAATTTTCCTCGAGACAGTCGAGGAGCATTACGGGTCTGGGTTTGCGAAAACTTCACTCAAGGCTGGCTTCTGGCCCTCACAAGACAAAATTAAGAAGGATGATCCAGATGATATTGATATTGTCTTCCTCTTGAAGAGCAATGAGAATCAGGAGCCGTTGTTCGTTGGACCCGCCAATGAGCGTCCAAAGGCGGAGCTCAACCCAGTTGTGGATGTCGAAAAAGGTCAATTCGTTCTCTTGCGTCCTTCTCAAGATGCTATCGATGAGGGAGTTCATGTACGGACGGGTAGAGTCATTTCCGATGTAGACAACGAAATGAAGTCGTCAACTTTCAATCATATTCTTATAGAATATTATTGCTAAATGTCTTTCTGTGCAATATTCGAACGCATGGAAGAAGACGTGGAAGAAAAACAACACAACATCAAATCAGTGGCAACATGTAGACTGTGTTGTGTGGAGCTGGACATCAAAGACATTGCATTTAGAAAATTGAGTGCACATTCCAAAATCGGCCAGAGAGAAGGCCTTGGTATGCCTTTCACTTCTCGATAATGAAGATCAGTAGGTTTTCAATAGGTTTTGAAGAAGAGTTAATCGTATTTCTTTACACGTATTAGTACGTTATTTAGTTGTCATTGAGCTTTCATTTATATATATTTAAACTGTATTTTCATGTGTTGCAGAATTGTTCAACCATTTGTGACGACTGGATGGCCGCCAAGTAACATGGTGTGGGGAAGAAATATATGGCATGATATGGGTCCAGTTTTCTTCACATCTGAAGTGATCTTTGACAGTGCAGTACTCAGTGTTAGAGGTGTGGATGCCCCACCGGAAGACTGGGAACATTCTCCTCGAGAGTCACTGTATATTTGTGGTCGGAGGTGTTGTGGAACGAGAACATACCCGCGAGAAGTGCTCGCACCCTTTTCGGAATCGTATTATTCAGCACTCAAATTCTGTCACAACAATTTCAACGTGATGACCTTTTTTTGTGCAGCGGCAACTGTTCGAGGTCGGTGCAAAGTATCTTTCCTTATTTATA